AGGAAAAAAGCTAAACAAAGGATATTAGATTCAGGGTCCTTGTTTTGAAAAGAAAAAAATATATAGATATGAGATAAAAGGTAGATTACTAAATCTACTCTGAAAAAAGATATAGAAATGAAAGGACAAAGGGTAGATTATTGAATTTACTCTAAAAAGAAGAAAGGGAGGATATGGATATGATAAGATTAAAAAGGTAGATTACTGAATCTACTTTTCAAACGCAACTACTAGCTTTAAATATTTTACATTGGATTGGATTTTTGTATATTGTATACAAATTGTGTATATTGACACAAAGTTGAGATTATTTTTGTTAGAACATACTGTACATACATTTCTAATCTTGTTCAAGGTATTGTACGTATACATCTCCTTTAACAATGTAATATAAATTTCTACTCCTTGAAAGTTACTATTACATACTAAATAGAATATAAAGAAATGCAGGTTAGTGGTCACCTATTACAATCAAACTTGTAGTCAGGTTAGGTATGTTTTCAAGGTCAAACAGAGATATATTTTAGATAGACAAATAGTCTTCCAAAACTTCAGAGATCTACTGAATATGACATTTAAGATGTTTTAATAACAGGTTCTTTTTTTTAATGACAATGAGACATGCCTGTTCCTGGCAGCACCAATCTACCTCAGATAAGATGATGGGCATGGAAGAAATGCCTCATGGAGTTTACTTTCTTTGTGGCAAAAGTTAGCCACTGGGCAACTTTTGAAAGAAAGGCCCTTGCCTTGACTGCTGACAATATGCTGTGCAAATGAGACAAGCAGGACACAAAAGGACTGCTGAACCTTGCCAAGACAAGAGAGGACAGTCCTTCAGAAAATCCTGCTTCACAGATAAGTCTGTTAGATATGCTAGGTCTGTACAATGAAGACGGATGCCCCAAGGTTGCAGAGGAACCTTGGGTGACTGTCCAGGCAGTCAGATGTTTCTGTCATTTCTCAAATTTTTTGGAAGTTGCTTGATTGCATTTCCCACTTACTCAGGTAATATTATTTCCTTCTCGGGTCTCTGAGGGAGTTGAAGACTAGACAGTTATAGTTTTTCTTGTTAACAAATTCAGAAAAGAAACTCACTAAAGAGGTGTAAAGTGTATAAGTTTGAAAGACATCAAAAGATAGTTTTCAATTGGTAATACAAGTTAGGATAGAAAGTAAATTAGGTACAACATTTTGGACTCACCAAAATAGGATAAATAACGGACTATTTTCTTGGAATCTGTCAAATGTTAATGAACTGGACATTGTTAATGTAATTCTTGACTGTATATATTGTATATACATATTGTACTTACTGTGTATACTTTTTCTTATATTAGTTATAATCCTTTCTAATTTTAGACAAAAAGGGAGAAATGTGGTGATATTTTGTTTGTAGTCTAACCAACAAAAATTTGCCTGAAGATCAGAGGTCAGTGCCAGCCACTACATTAAACATAGAGGATAATACATTAAACCTTTAATCTCAGCACTTGGGATCTCATGCCTTTGCCCCCAGTATTTGGTAAGCACACACACCATTTAGTACTAGGAAGGTTGAGACAGGAAGGATACGACTGGGCAGAGAAAGGCATATAAGGTGGGAAGAGACAGGAACTCTTCCCCTTTCTGCTGAGGAGTTGGCAAGGTGAGAAGTGGCTGTGGCTTGTTTCCTCTGATCTTTCAGCATTTATCCCAATATCTGGCTCCAGGTTTTTATTATAAGACCAATTAGGATTCATACAACATTCCCAATACTGGATGAGTGACCAAGACCTGAGAGTAGACAGCCCAGGTATCTAGGGTAAAACCAAATACTACTGTGTTAAAAATCAAAAAGAAAAAAGAAGTAATAAAATGGGTCCTAATGGCATCCTACCATACTTAATAGATCAGTGTCTGGCTCAGACATCATCAGAGAAGCTTCCTCATGCAGCAGCTGGGAACAAATGCAGAGACCCACAGTCAGACACTATGCAGAGAATGAGACCTTGGGATGCTCAGCACTAAAAGGGATGTTTCCATCAAATCCCTCCCCATAGTGCCCAGCGAACTTCGTGGAAGAGGAGATGGAAAGAAACAGTATAAAAGCCAGAGAGATGGAAGATACCAAGAAAACAAGGGCCTCTTACTCAACATGATCAAAGCACTTATGATTTCAAGGAGACTGAGGCAACATGCACAGGACTTGCACTAACTAACCTGCACCAGGTCCTTTGTGCATAAGTTGATTATGGCCTCCAGTTTAGTGTTTATATGGGACTTATGAGTGTGCAACCAAGTGAGTTTCT